GTACAGGGCCAGGCACCGTCCATCGCTCCAATCAGCTGGTGGTTGTAATTGCTGGGTTGGTTCTGTTTTCACTCCCGACTTCCACTGGAACCAATGGGTGTTGCGGTCCAGCCTGGTTCTGTCCCGCACATATTTGGCCCTCACCTAAACCAGTGGGAGCTGCAGCCTAGTTGGAGCGACCCACAATAACCCCCACAAGCCTTGCCTCTTGCAACATGCACATGCATCCTCTGGGGCCCACTGCAGTAGCCTAATGGTTAAAGTCCTTGCCTTGAACACGTTGGAAATCCACATAGGCAGTTGGTTCTAATCCCGACAGCCCCACTTCCCATCCAGCTCCCTGCTTGTGGCCTGGGAAAGCAGTAGGGAGGACAGCCCAAAGCCTTGGGACCCTGCACCCATGTGGGAGACACGGAAGAGGCTCCATGCTCCAGGCTTCGGATTGGCTCAGTTTCAGCTGTTGCGGCTACCTGGGGAGTGAATGATCACATCAAAGATCTTCTCTGCCTCTCCTCTCCGTATATCTGCCTTTCCAGTAAAAAATAAATTAAAAATCTTAAAAAAAAAGAATATAGCTCTGATTAACAATTATTATTTTGCTACCAGACCTGTTGAACCAAACAATTTTTGGTTTAAGATTTACTTTTTGGGCCCGGTGCAGTGGCGCAGGTCCTCGCCTTGCACGCCCGGGATCCCATATGGGCGCCGGTTCTAATCCTGGCAGCCCCACTTCCCTTCCAGCTCCCTGCCTGCACCTCGAGGCTGGGATCCCACCGCCCGCTTGGGCAGCTGCGGCATCTGGGGAGGGGGCCCAGGCCAGCCTCACTCTTGACCAGCAGTGCTTGCACCGGGACAGTCACTGTCCTCTGCTCCGGCCTTGTGCCAACGACACTGGACCGGCAGCCAGGGGACCCTGGGCCACACCCTGGGAGCTGCCTGGAGCTGGGCAGGGCAGCGCCCCAGCCAGCCCTCTTGTGGCGAGCAAGAAGGGGGCCACAGTAAGAAAAGCAAGGTGGCAGCCACCAGGGGACCCCAGGCTGGAACCGAGTGCTCAGGAGAACACCCTGTCAGAGAAGGCACCCACCATCAGACACCCCCACCCTATCAGAGACGCCGTATGAGATACCCATGCCCTGAGAGAGACGCCCCCATCCACGTGAGACACCCCCACCCCATCAGAGACGCCTTCACCCCCATCAGGGACACCCCATCAGCGATGCCCTGTTAGAGACGCCCCCTCAGACACCCTCTCACAGATGCCCCATCAGAGAAGGCCCCTCGGCGAGGCTGGGTGCTGTGAGTGCGGCCCACCGGCCCACCGCTCCACCTGCCCACCGCTCCACCGGCCCACCGCTCCACCGGCCCACCGACCCACCGCTCCACCGGCCCACCGACCCACCGGCCCACCGACCCACTCGCCCACCGCTCCACCGGCCCACCGCTCCACCGGCCCACCGACCCACCGCTCCACCGGCCCACCGCTCCACCCGCCCACCGACCCACCCACCCACCGCTCCACCGGCCCACCGCTCCACCCGCCCACCGACCCACTCGCCCACCGCTCCACCGGCCCACCGACCCACTCGCCCACCGCTCCACCGGCCCACCGACCCACCGCTCCACCCGCCCACCGACGCGGGCTGCCGTGGCCTCGCCCCACACCCGGCAGGTTATCATTGATTCCCGCAGACCAGGCTCCTCCTGGCGTGTCCCTGGCGGCGGCCCTGCCCTTCTGGCAGGGAACTTTGGCCCAGGCCGGTTGGGGGGGCCGGGTCCGCCCGCTTCCTCCTCTGAACCCCAAGACGTCAGCCGCCCGCCCGCGGTTCCGGCTTCCGCGCCCCGGGGCCCCGCGCGGCCGGGTGAGGCGCCCCTGCGCCGCGCGGGACACTCCCCGCGGTGGCCGGCCGCTGCGGGCACTGGCGCCGGGGCAAGCCGGAGCGACCTTCTGCGGACCTGCCGGCCACTAAGAGGCCGCGGCCGAGGCGGCGTCGGCGTGTAGGTAAGCCGGGGACACTGCGCACACGGCCCCGCGACGCCCGAGGGCGCGCGCCCCGAGACCGGCCAGCGCTGTGCTCCAGCCGCGGGGAAGGCCCTCTGAGCTGTGCGTGTGTGTGTGTGTGTGTGTGTGTGTGTGTGTGTGTGTGTGTGTGTGTGTTGCTCCACTCGGGGTCCAGCTCCCTGTGCAGGCCCAGGGACGGCAGGTGATGGCGTGGGAGCCCCTGCAGGAGCGTCACCTGGACCCTCGTGGCCATCTGGGGAGTGACCCATGGGTGAGATGGCTCCACCCTTCCCTGTCCCTCTGCATCTAAAGGCAGAGTACCAGGCTCACAGGCCTGAGTCACAGATGACAACCTGGAAGGGCACGCAGGCTGGCCCCTTCCGCAGGACCCCAGCCCCAGCCTAGAACCCGCCGCCGGGCCTCCTTCTGTGCCATGCGCTCTGACACACACGCAGCTGCAGCACAGGTCTCACTTGCGAGTCAGCAACCCTGTCAAAAATGTTGATTCATTTGTCTGCAAGGAAGAGATCCATCCACCGGCCCACTCCCCAGAGTACCTGGGCCAGGAGCAGAGCCAGGAGCCCCCGGGCGTGCCCAACCGGTGCAGGGCCAGCTTTGGGCTGTACTCCACTGCTCTCCCAGGCCACAGGGAGCTGGATGGGAAGTGGAGCAGTCGGGACTGTAGCTGGTATGAACTTGGGATTCCACTGCCGCTACACTGCCGTGCTGGCCCCATTCTATTCTTTCAATATCCATTTATTTGAAAACTTAAACAACAGAGAGAAGTCTTCCATCCACTGTTTCACTCCCCCACTCCCCGTGCGCGCAGCTGCATGGCCCCTGAGCCTGAGCCTGTCTGCCCCACGTGAGGCCCATGCTTGGCAGGAGGGTCCTCCCTGAGGCTGTGGGTGGACCACCTGCTGTACCAACAGCCACAAGACGGCTATTTCTTTTCTCTGTGGCTTGGCTTATTTTTAAAGGTTTATTTTATTTATTTGAGAGTGAGAGGTCTCCCACCTGTTTGTTCACTCCCCAAGTGCCCACACCTGTGGGAGCTTCTTCCAGGTCTGCCCTGTACCCCAGTCCAGGGACCCAGGCAGAGGGGACCCCATCTCTTCACATAGACCCAAGCTGCTGCTGCTGGTGACTGACAGGCCATGGTCACTGGCAACATGAAAGCCTTCCAACCCCAAAGCAGTCCAGACCTGGTGACTGTGGGTCCCACGTGTCCCCTGAGGCTGCCTTGGTGACCATGGGCCCTATGTGTGTCCTTGGCAGCCCAGGCCTGGTCACTGTGAGCCCCACATGTCCCCAGAGTCTGATGTGGTGACCGTGGGCCCTGTGTGTGTCCTTGGCAGCCCAGCCCTGGTGACCGTGGGCCCTGTGTGTGTCCTTGGCAGCCCAGCCCTGGTGACCGTGGGCCCTGTGTGTGTCCTTGGCAGCCCAGCCCTGGTGATCGTGGGCCCTGTGTGTGTCCTTGGCAGCCCAGCCCTGGTGATCGTGGGCCCTGTGTGTGTCCTTGGCAGCCCAGCCCTGGTGATCGTGGGCCCTGTGTGTGTCCTTGGCAGCCCAGCCCTGGTGATCGTGGGCCCTGTGTATGTCCTTGGCAGCCCAGGCCTGGTCACTGTGAGCCCCACATGTCCCCAGAGTCTGACGTGGTGACCGTGGGCCCCATGTGTGTCCTTGGCAGCCCAGGCCTGGTGACCATGGGCCCCATGTGTGTCCTTGGCAGCCCAGGCCTGGTCACTGTGGGCCCCATGTGTGTCCTTGGCAGCCCAGGCCTGGTCACTGTGGGCCCCATGTGTGTCCTTGGCAGCCCAGGCCTGGTCACTGTGGGCCCCATGTGTGTCCTTGGCAGCCCAGGCCTGGTCACTGTGGGCCCCATGTGTGTCCTTGGCAGCCCAGGCCTGGTCACTGTGGGCCCCATGTGTGTCCTTGGCAGCCCAGCCCTGGTGACCGTGGGCCCCATGTGTGTCCTTGGCAGCCCAGGCCTGGTCACTGTGGGCCCCATGTGTGTCCTTGGCAGCCCAGCCCTGGTGACCGTGGGCCCCATGGCCCCTGAGCCTGCTCTTGGGTCACTGAGCAGATCCTAGAACGGAGGCTGCCCTAGCTTTTACACGCGCCATGGAGCACACTCGCGCTGAGGTCTGCGTTGGGGGATCCACCCTGGCTTAGTCCCTCTCCTGGGTGCTGCAGGTAGCAGGGCTGGGTGCTGCTGTCCTGTGTCACACGCGAAATGCAAGTTGAACTTTTACTAAGGGGTAAAATACCTTCGAAATGCAGGTCTCCAAGGATCGGCAGAGATCATGTGGGGGCGGCCAGCACCCCAGCAGCTCCCGATTTTCTGCACAGGTAGCTTGGACAAGGTCCCTACCTTCCCTCTACCCCCGCCCCATCCCAGGGGAACTCCTGGCTCCAGCTTCCCAAAGGTCCAGCACCCCACCCCTTCCTGGTCATTTGGGGGTGTGAACCAGTGGACGGAAGGACCCCTCCTCTGCCTTTCAAATAAAAATAAGAGACGGCCTTCGGCCAAAATGTGTTTATCTTTGAAGTTTCTGTTTCTAACCTACTTGAAAGGCAGACAGGACCAGGCGGGTCTGCGCTCTCAGCTCCCACAGCAGCCGGGGGTGGCCTGGATCCCGCCACGACGAGCGCAGCTCCCCCGGGAGCCGGGCCGGCCTCGAACCTCCGGCGGCGCCCGTACTCCTGCGCTTGGCGGGGCCGCGTCTCCCGGAGAAAGCCCGCCGCACCCCAACTCCCGCGCCCGTCACCTAGCGACCCTCGGCGTCCTTCCGGCAAGCTCTGCGGCGCCGCACCCCGTGACGTGCAGGACAGCCCGGCATGCTCCGGGCAGGCGCGGACTACGAGTCCCAGCAGGCGCCGCGCCCGCCTGACCGCCCCGCGGCGCCCCTGGACCCCGCTGGCCGCCCGCGACCCCCGCCCGCCCGCCGCGCCTGCGCCGGGACCGGGGCCTGGGGGCTGAGCGGCCGCGGCGCGCGCCATGCGGAGGAGCGAGCGCAGGGGCGCCGGGGGGTCGCGGCCGGGGTCGCCCGCGGGCAAGGCCTGCCTGGAGGAGCCCGCCGGCCGAGCGCCGGGGCCGGGCCGCCGCAGCACCGAGTCCGAGGTCTACGACGACGGCACCAACACCTTCTTCTGGTGAGGCCCGGCCGGCGGCTCCGGCGGGGCCCCGCGCCCTTGGGCTCACCTCGCCTTCCACGCGTGTGACCCGCGGGTCCCGGTGCGGGCAGTGCGGGCTCGGCCGCCCTCGCCGGCGGGATGCCCTGTGGCTGCGCCGCGCGGCGAAAGGACGCGCGGACCGGGGGTGGGAGCCGAGCCGGCCGGTGTGCGCGGGGCCGGGGTGGGAGCCGAGCCGGCCGGTGTGCGCGGGGCTGTGCGCGGGGCTGGGGTGGGAGCCGAGCCCGGCCGGTGTGCGCGGGGCTGTGCGCGGGGCTGGGGTGGGAGCCGAGCCCGGCCGGTGTGCGCGGGGCCGGGGACTCTGCTGGCTGCCGGTCAGCGGCGGGCACAGCCCGGAGGTCAGCAAGGCTTTGAGTGGGCCGGCGTGGTTCTGGGGGGCAGGCTTGTTGCACTGAGTGCGCCCCATAGCCGCCTGCCTCCCTGGCCTTCATGGTTCTCCGGCATTTAGGGCAAGTCCAGCCACTCAGGAAGTTAACCACTAACCCAAGGAGGCGGCCTTCAGGACACACCCGGGTCGTGCCGTGTCTGAGACGTGGTCGGCAGCCAGGGGCTGGACCGAGCTGCAGCCGGCCAGTTAACGAGACCTCACCCGGGGAATGGGTTGCAGCCATTTCTGCGGTGGAACAACCTCTTAGGGGATGCTGGGGGTCAGGCTGCAGACCACGACAGGCACAGGGACACATCATCCAGGGATGGTGGCTGATAGCTTGGCGTGCAGGGTCAGCTGTGTGAGTGACCAGGGAGGAGCTCGTGGCAGGGTCAGCTGTGTGAGTGACTGGGGAGGGGCTCGTGGCCCGGCATGCAGGGTCAGCTGTGTGAGTGACCAGGGGCCCATAGCCTGGCATGCAGTGTCAGCTGTGTGAGTGACCAGGGGCCCGTGGCCGGGCGTGCGGGGTCAGCTGTGTGAGCGACCAGGGGCCCGTGGCCTGGCGTGCGGGGTCAGCTGTGTGAGCGACCAGGGGCCCGTGGCCGGGCGTGCGGGGTCAGCTGTGTGAGCGACCAGGGGCCCTCACACAGCCAGTGTGTGGTCAGGGCTGTGTCCTGTCACACTCTTGCACTCCTGTACTCTGGTCAGTGTGTAGGTCCAGGCCTGCCCCCTGCAGCTGGCGTGTTATTAGCATGCGGGCCTGGAGCTGTGTCCTGTGCTAACCCAGGTGGACTCGAGGCTGTGGCCTAACGGGATATGAGGGCAGCTGTGCGCCGGGAAACGCCCTTGATTTCACTTTGACCTAGGTTAAGGTTTGAGCAGCTGAGCTGATGGGCTGGTGTCCTTGCAGCCCACCCCAATGCAGAGGAGGCGGCTGTCGGGGCTCGTCCTGCTCGCTCTGTGTCTCATTGACATTGGCCCATCCTGCCCGTAGTGCCCGGGGCAGGAGTGTCAGCCCACCCGCATTAGGAGTGTGCATGGAGCAAGGTTCCAGCCCATCTCCTGTCGGACTGTGGCTGCTGTGTGTGAGCTTTCGTGGCTGTTAGAAGGCAGTTCCAGCCATCTCCTTGTCTCGGGGCCTCTGCCTTCTTTCGTTATATATTTGAAAGGAGTTAGAGCTGCGGCTTCATTCCCTTAATGGCTGCAACTTCCGTGGCTGGCCAGGCTGAAGCTGGGAGCCAGGAGCTTCCTCCAGTTCTCCCATGTGGGTGCTGGGGCTGAACACTTGGACCTGCTACTTTCTCAGGCCCTGCGCAGGGTTAAGGTTAGGTTAAGATGGGAAGTGGGGCATCTAGGAGCCTGGTCCCAGCCAAGTGGACTCGGCGTTCTCCGCCTCGGATCCCATGATGCTGGGGGCCCTGTCCCTGGAGTGCGACCTGCCCCGTTCCTGGAGTGTCCAGTCCCTAGCTTCCTCTCATTTCTCACCTTTGTCTCATAGGGGCCTGGGTGGACGGGGGCCATACCTGGGGGTAGGGTATGCTGGACAAGGCCTCTGGTGCGTGACCAGTGGGCCCACTGGAACAGCCATGGCGGGGGCTCTGAGGCCTGGAGAGGTGTGGCAGCACCTTCTCCACCCCCTCCTTGGAGCCTGGACCTGGCTGCTCTGGCTGGAGCCAGGGTCATCTATGTGGGCTTTGTAGCCCCCATCAGCCCTGGGATGCTGGGCTCTGCTGTTCCCCTGTGGCTCTTGCAGAGGCCTCAGCTGGGAGTCCCTGGCCAGAGGGGTCACATGTCCTTGAGAGTTGGAGGTGAAGTGAGCCCTGGTGTCCCAACCCCTCTTGAGCTGGCTGTGTCTGGTTGCAGGCGGGCACACACCCTCACCGTCCTCTTCATCCTTACCTGTGCACTGGGCTACGTGACACTGCTGGAGGAGACGCCTCAGGACACGGCCTACAACACCAAGAGGTGAGAGGCGGGGTGGCCATGTCTACCAAGGCCTTCTGTGTACTCTGGGGTGTGTACAAGTGTGTTCTCTGTGTACAGGGGTGAGCTGCATGTGCAATAGGTGTGTGGTGTATATTGGTGTGACCTGCTCCATCTGTTCACCCTACATCCAATGGGGCCACTTCCTAGCCACTCCAGGCCCAGCCGCTGGTTGCATAGTGGTGACCAGCTCTACCCTGGCTGGAGTCTCCCTGTGCATGTGTACACAGCCAAGTGTGCACTCAGGGACAGTCTGCTATCTGTACGTGGCTGTGTGTGCACACGAGGAGTGTCTGTGTGTCCACAAGGAGGGTCTGCTCAAGGCTGTGTGTGCACACAAGGAGGGTCTGCTCTTGGCTGTGTGCCCATGAGGAGGGTCTGCACGTGGCTGTATGTGCCCACGAGGAGGGTCTGCTCGTGGCTGTGTGTGCACACAAGGAGGGTCTGCTCTTGGCTGTGTGTGCCCATGAGGAGGGTCTGCACGTGGCTGTGTGTGCCCACGAGGAGGGTCTGCTCGTGGCTGTGTGTGCCCATGAGGAGGGTCTGCACGTGGCTGTGTGCCCATGAGGAGGGTTTGCATGTGGCTGTGTGCACACGAGGAGGGTCTGCTCGTGGCTGTGTGTGCCCATGAGGAGGGTCTGCTCGTGGCTGTGTGCCCACGAGGAGGGTCTGCTCGTGGCTGTGTGCCCACGAGGAGGGTCTGCATGTGGCTGTGTGTGCCCACGAGGAGGGTCTGCTCGTGGCTGTGTGTGCCCACGAGGAGGGTCTGCTCGTGGCTGTGTGTGCCCATGAGGAGGGTCTGCTCGTGGCTGTGTGTGCCCATGAGGAGGGTCTGCATGTGGCTGTGTGCCCATGAGGAGGGTCTGCTCGTGGCTGTGTGCCCACGAGGAGGGTCTGCTCGTGGCTGTGTGTGCCCATGAGGAGGGTCTGCTCGTGGCTGTGTATGCCCATGAGGAGGGTCTGCTCGTGGCTGTGTGCCCACGAGGAGGGTCTGCATGTGGCTGTGTGCCCACGAGGAGGGTCTGCTCGTGGCTGTGTGCACACGAGGAGGGTCTGCTCGTGGCTGTGTGTGCCCACGAGGAGGGTCTGCATGTGGCTGTGTGCCCACGAGGAGGGTCTGCTCGTGGCTGTGTGTGCCCATGAGGAGGGTCTGCATGTGGCTGTGTGCCCATGAGGAGGGTCTGCATGTGGCTGTGTGCCCACGAGGAGGGTCTGCTCGTGGCTGTGTGCCCATGAGGAGGGTCTGCATGTGGCTGTGTGTGCCCACGAGGAGGGTCTGCATGTGGCTGTGTGCCCAGGAGGAGGGTCTGCTCGTGGCTGTGTGCCCATGAGGAGGGTCTGCACGTGGCTGTGTGCCCACGAGGAGGGTCTGCACGTGGCTGTGTGCCCACGAGGAGGGTCTGCTCGTGGCTGTGTGCCCACGAGGAGGGTCTGCTCGTGGCTGTGTGCCCACGAGGAGGGTCTGCTCGTGGCTGTGTGCCCACGAGGAGGGTCTGCTCGTGGCTGTGTGTGCCCATGAGGAGGGTCTGCATGTGGCTGTGTGCCCACGAGGAGGGTCTGCACGTGGCTGTGTGTACACACGAGGAGGGTCTGCATGTGGCTGTGTGCCCACGAGGAGGGTCTGCATGTGGCTGTGTGCCCACGAGGAGGGTCTTCTCGTGGCTGTGTGTGCCCATGAGGAGGGTCTGCTCGTGGCTGTGTGCCCACGAGGAGGGTCTGCACGTGGCTGTGTGTGCACACGAGGAGGGTCTGCTCGTGGCTGTGTGCCCATGAGGAGGGTCTGCTCGTGGCTGTGTGTGCCCATGAGGAGGGTCTGCATGTGGCTGTGTGCCCATGAGGAGGGTCTGCATGTGGCTGTGTGCCCATGAGGAGGGTCTGCATGTGGCTGTGTGCCCACGAGGAGGGTCTTCTCGTGGCTGTGTGTGCCCATGAGGAGGGTCTGCTCGTGGCTGTGTGCCCACGAGGAGGGTCTGCACGTGGCTGTGTGTGCACACGAGGAGGGTCTGCTCGTGGCTGTGTGTGCCCATGAGGAGGGTCTGCATGTGGCTGTGTGTGCCCACGAGGAGGGTCTGCATGTGGCTGTGTGTGCCCATGAGGAGGGTCTGCATGTGGCTGTGTGCCCATGAGGAGGGTCTGCTCGTGGCTGTGTGTGCCCACGAGGAGGGTCTGCTCGTGGCTGTGTGTGCCCATGAGGAGGGTCTGCATGTGGCTGTGTGTGCCCACGAGGAGGGTCTGCATGTGGCTGTGTGCCCACGAGGAGGGTCTGCATGTGGCTGTGTGCCCACGAGGAGGGTCTTCTCGTGGCTGTGTGTGCCCATGAGGAGGGTCTGCTCGTGGCTGTGTGCCCACGAGGAGGGTCTGCACGTGGCTGTGTGTGCACACGAGGAGGGTCTGCTCGTGGCTGTGTGTGCCCATGAGGAGGGTCTGCATGTGGCTGTGTGTGCCCACGAGGAGGGTCTGCATGTGGCTGTGTGTGCCCATGAGGAGGGTCTGCATGTGGCTGTGTGCCCATGAGGAGGGTCTGCTCGTGGCTGTGTGTGCCCACGAGGAGGGTCTGCTCGTGGCTGTGTGTGCCCATGAGGAGGGTCTGCATGTGGCTGTGTGTGCCCACGAGGAGGGTCTGCATGTGGCTGTGTGCCCACGAGGAGGGTCTGCATGTGGCTGTGTGCCCACGAGGAGGGTCTGCATGTGGCTGTGTGCCCACGAGGAGGGTCTGCATGTGGCTGTGTGCCCATGAGGAGGGTCTGCTCGTGGCTGTGTGCCCACGAGGAGGGTCTGCTCGTGGCTGTGTGCCCACGAGGAGGGTCTGCTCGTGGCTGTGTGTGCCCACGAGGAGGGTCTGCACGTGGCTGTGTGCCCACGAGGAGGGTCTGCACGTGGCTGTGTGCCCACGAGGAGGGTCTGCTCGTGGCTGTGTGCCCACGAGGAGGGTCTGCTCGTGGCTGTGTGCCCACGAGGAGGGTCTGCTCGTGGCTGTGTGCCCACGAGGAGGGTCTGCTCGTGGCTGTGTGTGCCCATGAGGAGGGTCTGCTCGTGGCTGTGTGCCCACGAGGAGGGTCTGCACGTGGCTGTGTGTGCACACGAGGAGGGTCTGCATGTGGCTGTGTGCCCATGAGGAGGGTCTGCATGTGGCTGTGTGCCCACGAGGACGGTCTGCTCGTGGCTGTGTGTGCCCATGAGGAGGGTCTGCTCGTGGCTGTGTGCCCACGAGGAGGGTCTGCATGTGGCTGTGTGCCCACGAGGAGGGTCTGCTCGTGGCTGTGTGTGCCCATGAGGAGGGTCTGCATGTGGCTGTGTGTGCCCATGAGGAGGGTCTGCATGTGGCTGTGTGTGCCCATGAGGAGGGTCTGCTCGTGGCTGTGTGTGCCCACGAGGAGGGTCTGCTCGTGGCTGTGTGCCCATGAGGAGGGTCTGCACGTGGCTGTGTGTGCACACGAGGAGGGTCTGCTCGTGGCTGTGTGCCCATGAGGAGGGTCTGCTCGTGGCTGTGTGTGCCCATGAGGAGGGTCTGCATGTGGCTGTGTGTGCCCACGAGGAGGGTCTGCTCGTGGCTGTGTGTGCCCATGAGGAGGGTCTGCATGTGGCTGTGTGTGCCCATGAGGAGGGTCTGCATGTGGCTGTGTGTGCCCATGAGGAGGGTCTGCTCGTGGCTGTGTGTGCCCATGAGGAGGGTCTGCATGTGGCTGTGTGTGCCCATGAGGAGGGTCTGCATGTGGCTGTGTGTGCCCACGAGGAGGGTCTGCATGTGGCTGTGTGCCCATGAGGAGGGTCTGCTCGTGGCTGTGTGTGCCCATGAGGAGGGTCTGCTCGTGGCTGTGTGCCCATGAGGAGGGTCTGCATGTGGCTGTGTGTGCCCATGAGGAGGGTCTGCACGTGGCTGTGTGCCCATGAGGAGGGTCTGCACGTGGCTGTGTGCCCACGAGGAGGGTCTGCTCGTGGCTGTGTGCCCACGAGGAGGGTCTGCTCGTGGCTGTGTGTGCCCATGAGGAGGGTCTGCATGTGGCTGTGTGCCCACGAGGAGGGTCTGCACGTGGCTGTGTGTGCACACGAGGAGGGTCTGCTCGTGGCTGTGTGCCCACGAGGAGGGTCTGCTCGTGGCTGTGTGTGCACACGAGGAGGGTCTGCTCGTGGCTGTGTGTGCCCATGAGGAGGGTCTGCTCGTGGCTGTGTGCCCACGAGGAGGGTCTGCTCGTGGCTGTGTGTGCCCATGAGGAGGGTCTGCATGTGGCTGTGTGCCCATGAGGAGGGTCTGCATGTGGCTGTGTGTGCCCACGAGGAGGGTCTGCTCGTGGCTGTGTGTGCCCATGAGGAGGGTCTGCTCGTGGCTGTGTGCCCACGAGGAGGGTCTGCTCGTGGCTGTGTGTGCCCATGAGGAGGGTCTGCATGTGGCTGTGTGTGCCCATGAGGAGGGTCTGCATGTGGCTGTGTGTGCCCACGAGGAGGGTCTGCATGTGGCTGTGTGCCCATGAGGAGGGTCTGCTCGTGGCTGTGTGCCCACGAGGAGGGTCTGCTCGTGGCTGTGTGTGCCCATGAGGAGGGTCTGCATGTGGCTGTGTGCCCATGAGGAGGGTCTGCATGTGGCTGTGTGTGCCCACGAGGAGGGTCTGCTCGTGGCTGTGTGTGCCCATGAGGAGGGTCTGCTCGTGGCTGTGTGCCCACGAGGAGGGTCTGCATGTGGCTGTGTGTGCACACGAGGAGGGTCTGCTCGTGGCTGTGTGCCCATGAGGAGGGTCTGCTCGTGGCTGTGTGTGCCCATGAGGAGGGTCTGCATGTGGCTGTGTGTGCCCATGATGATGGTCTGCATGTGGCTGTGTGTGCCCACGAGGAGGGTCTGCTCGTGGCTGTGTGTGCCCATGAGGAGGGTCTGCATGTGGCTGTGTGTGCCCATGAGGAGGGTCTGCATGTGGCTGTGTGTGCCCACGAGGAGGGTCTGCTCGTGGCTGTGTGTGCCCATGAGGAGGGTCTGCATGTGGCTGTGTGTGCCCATGAGGAGGGTCTGCATGTGGCTGTGTGCCCATGAGGAGGGTCTGCACGTGGCTGTGTGCCCATGAGGAGGGTCTGCACGTGGCTGTGTGCACATGAGGAGGGTCTGCTCGTGGCTGTGTGTGCCCATGAGGAGGGTCTGCATGTGGCTGTGTGTGCCCACGAGGAGGGTCTGCTCGTGGCTGTGTGCCCACGAGGAGGGTCTGCTCGTGGCTGTGTGCCCACGAGGAGGGTCTGAACGTGGCTGTGTGCACACGAGGAGGGTCTGCTCGTGGCTGTGTGTGCCCATGAGGAGGGTCTGCATGTGGCTGTGTGCCCACGAGGAGGGTCTCTGTCTCTTGCAGGGGTATCGTTGCCAGCATCTTGGTGTTTTTGTGCTTTGGAGTCACGCAAGCAAAGGACGGGCCATTCTCCAGACCTCACCCAGGTAACCACTGTCCCTCCCACAGTGTACCTGACCCTGAATTGAGAGCGCCAGCTCCCTGCCCGGCCACTGCCAGGGCCCAGGCGTGGGGCTCCCCAGTACCATGCCTCTGCCCAGTTCTGACCCACCGGGACCTCAGTGCCATGGAAGGTAGTCCCAGGCATGTGACTCCTGACAGGAATGGGGGTCCTTTGTCCTGTCTCAGTGGTATGTGTTATGAGAGATGCGAAATGCATTTTATTTTTATTTTAGCTTTAGTTTAGTTTAGTTTCTTTGTATTGGAAAGTCAGATGCACAGAGAGGAGGAAAGACAGAGAAGACCTTCTATCCACTGGTCACTCCCAGAATGGCTCCAAAGGCTGGATCTGAGCCATGCTGGAGCCAGACGCTTCCTCTGGGTCTCCCACGCAGGTGCAGGGTCCCAAGGCTTTGGGCCTTCCTCGACTGCTTTCCCAGGTCATAAGCAGGGAGTTAAATTAGAAGGGCAGCAGCCGGAACATGAACTGATGGCCATATGGGATCTCAGCACTTGCAAATGGATTATTAGCCAGTTGAACCATTGCACTGACCCAAAAACACTGCTTTTCTGAGCCATCTGGCAGTGAGTGCAAGTAGCCTGGGTGTCTGAGTTGGCTCTGACTGCTGCAGGCAAGACTTCAATATGGCTGCGAGCTCCCTTATGTACAAGAGGGTGGGGTCGGTTCCTTCTGAAGGCAGACCTGCCGCAGGAGCTGCCATGGTCAGACCAGACAGGGAAGACGCTGCAGGGCCCTGTGATGCCCACACAGGCTGTGAACACTGCAGGCCCTGGCCTCTGCTGGTAAGCAGCACATGGGGATGGGGCCCAGAGGACACTGACCCTCTGGCTGTCCCCACAGCGTACTGGAGGTTCTGGTTGTGCGTGAGTGTGGTCTATGAGCTGTTCCTGATCTTCATCCTCTTCCAGGTGAGCAGGGGCTCACACTTGGGGCGGAGGACGGGAGTTGTCCCTGAGCCCCTGGCCAGGCGGGGACTACAGGAGGGGCCCTGGCGTTCAGAGACTGCATGGGCAGGTGTGGGTGGAATCCTGGGTCCTGCTCATGGAGGTGCTGCCTTGCAGACGGTCCAGGACGGCCGGCAGTTCCTAAAGTATGTGGACCCCCGACTGGGGGTGCCACTGCCTGAGAGGGACTACGGGGGAAACTGCCTCATCTATGACCCGGGCAATGAGACGGACCCCTTCCACAACATCTGGGTGAGGCTCCTGTGGGCTGGGGGCGGGGCTGCTGTGAGTGGGCTGTGCCTGAGCAGAGCACCTGTCGCTTACAGGACAAGCTCGATGGCTTTGTTCCTGCCCACTTCATCGGCTGGTACCTGAAGGTAGGGTAGGCGGAGGGCAAGCTTGTCCTGGCCAGGAATCCGTGGCCGAGTCCTGGGCGGAGGCAAACTCTGGGTCCCTTAGCCCTCGGGGCGGGGTCTGCGTAGCCCCGTGTGGGGCTGCCCTGCTAGGCGTGCCCTGCCCCCACCCCGCCGCAGACCCTGATGATCCGCGACTGGTGGATGTGCATGATCGTGAGCGTCATGTTCGAGTTCCTGGAGTACAGCCTGGAGCACCAGCTGCCCAACTTCAGCGAGTGCTGGTGGGACCACGTGAGTGTGCAGACCCAGGAGGGAGCATGTGAGTGGGGGGACCCCGTGAGTATGGAGAGTCCCTCAGCCCCCACCCGGCTGCCACCCCCAGTGGATCATGGACGTGCTGGTGTGCAACGGACTGGGCATCTACTGCGGCATGAAGACACTCGAGTGGCTCTCCCTGAAGACATACAAGTGGCAGGGTCTCTGGAACATCCCCACCTACAGGTGCGGCCCGCCCTCCCTAGCACTGGGCCCAGGGGTGCGGGCGGGTGAGGACCCCAATGGCTCTGCTCCACACCCACAGGGGCAAGATGAAGAGGATCGCCTTCCAGTTCACACCCTACAGCTGGGTGCGCTTCGAGTGGAGGCCAGCCTCGAGCCTGCGGCGCTGGCTGGCCGTGTGCGGCATCATCCTGGTGGTGAGTGAGGCCTGGCCCGCCCTGCTGCCCACCTTGCACCCCACACCGCTGCGCTCTCACTCTGACCTGCCCCTAGTTCCTGCTAGCCGAGCTCAACACCTTCTACCTCAAGTTTGTGCTGTGGATGCCACCCGAGCACTACCTGGTACTGTTGCGCCTCGTCTTCCTGGTCAACGTAGGCGGAGTGGCCATGCGGGAGATCTACGACTTCATGGATGACCTGTGAGCACCAGGGCCGGGTGGGTGGGGCCGTGAGGGAGACCTGTGAGCTGGGGTGGGGCTCCAAGTCGGCTGTCTGTCCCCCTGCAGGAAACCCCACAGGAAGCTGGGCCAGCAGGCCTGGCTGGTGGCGGCCATCACAGTCACGGAGCTGCTGATCGTGGTCAAGTACGACCCGCACACGCTGACGCTGTCGCTGCCTTTCTACATCTCCCAGTGCTGGACACTCGGCTCTGTCCTGGTGCTCACCTGGACTGTCTGGCGCTTCTTCCTGCGGTGAGCACCTGGGGGACCTGCCCCTGCGCCCCAGACCTTCTTCCTGCGGGCAGGCGAAGGGTGGGCGCTGACCTGGCCCTGCTGCCCCAGGGACATCACACTACGATACAAGGAGACACGGAGGCAGAAGCAGCAGAGCGACTCAGATGGCACCAGCCACATGGACGCGTGTCTGGAGCCAGAAGACAACCTTCCTGGGACGGCCAGGGACCAGCAGCCTGAGCCTCGGGCAGAGCCACCCTCGGCCACCTCCTGACCCGTGGCCTCTACCGCTGGCACTCTGGTTCCTGGCAGACCCACCTCCTGTGCCCTCACTGAGCTGGAGGGGAACTCACGTGTGTGTCCGTGGCCACTGTTTGCTACCAGCGCTACAGCCCCGAGACTTGTCCGTGGCGGAGGCCGGGGCCCCACCTGTGCCCTCTGCCTATGTGGGGGTGGGGGGTTGTGGGCCCCACCGAGCAGAGGAGCCACACAGACCCAGACGGGATCGACAGCCAGGGGACAGCAGGGTCTACAGTCTGGCCACCCGCGCTCCCACCAAGCCCAGGCAGGGGACAAGCGCAAGGCCAGTGTGGTCAGCCAGGAGTGCGTGCAGGGGGGCCCACAGGCCCCACTGGCATCTGCTCCATTCCGGGGCAAGACCATGAGGACCTCGGGGGCTGCGGGCCTCTGCTGCCTGCCAGGCTAGTGGCTGAGGCCGCCCAGGTGCTGAGATCTGGCTGAGGCGGCCATGTGGGGACGGAACTGTGGGAGAAAGCTCTCTCTCCCCATTCTCTGCCTTTGATTAAACTGAATCTTTAGAAGAAACTCGGGAGTGAAAGCGCCCAGACTCTGACCTCCTGCACTGGAGGCTCCTCAGTGGTGGGGTCCACTGCTCTCATCGAGGAGCCCCCCAGACTACACCTACACACACAGACACACAGGGAGCCCACCTAGACACACACAGACACACAGGGAGCCCACCTAGACACACAGACACACAGGGAGCCCCCCAGACTACACCTACACACACAGACACACAGGGAGCCCACCTAGACACACAGACACACAGGGAGCCCCCCAGACTACACCTACACACACACACACACAGGGAGCCCACCTAGACACACACACACACAGGGAGCCCCCCAGACTACACCTACACACACACACACACACAGGGAGCCCCCCCAGACTACACCTACACACACAGACACACAGGGAGCCCACCTAGACACACACACACTCAGGGAGCCCACCTAGACACACACACACACACACACAGGGAGCCCACCTAGACACACACACACACACACACAGGGAGCCCACCTAGACACACACACACACACACACAGGGAGCCCACCTAGACACACACACACACACAGGGAGCCCACCTAGACACACATACACACACACACAGGGAGCCCACCTAGACACACACACACACACACAGGGAGCCCACCTAGACACACACACACTCAGGGAGCCCACCTAGACACACACACACACACACAGGGAGCCCACCTGAACACACACACACACACAGGGAGCCCGGCTCCCAAGGCTCAGCTAGTCACCCCCTCCACCCAGGACCCTGGTCCTTCTGCTAGGAGCCATACCCAGAGGACATGAGCTGGTGATTCCAGATCCTACCATGGGAAGCGGCTTCTGGCCATATGTAAGATGGTCACTAGGTAGCTTGAGTGACCTTACAGGAGAATCCTGGGCACTCCCATATCCACACTTCACATGATAATGCAGAAAAGCAGGGGATCTGCATCATGTCAGCACACACAGGTCAGCCACCTACGTACTGACACAGTGAGTCACAGGACACAGCAGTGCAGACACATGGTGACGCCAACAGACCTTCATGTGACAGTGGGAGTGGGCGCTTCTTCCCTCACAGTGGCTGCTGAGCTTCTGGTCTGTCACACAGGGGCCCCAGCACCGGGCCGTCCTTCCAGGCCATTAGCAGGGAACTGGGTTGGAAGAGGAGCAACCTTGAACTGGCGCCCATGTGGGATGCTGGTGCCACAGGAGGGGGCTCAGCCCGAGCCCCTGACTTTGTCACCAGCTGCGATGACAGGGCACTCTAAGGCCCAAGCAGTCTGAGTGTGCCAGTGTCCAGGCTGGGTGCGATGTGACCTCCCCAACCCCAAAAGGAAACCAGTCCTGCCCACACATGCTTTAATCGTCACAATCACGGGACCACAACCGCGGGGGGCTCAGCAGATGACGCGCAGAGGGGGCCGGGCCTCTTCCAGTGCGTGCAGCTGCTCTTCCATGTCCTGCGTCCAGTAGATGTCATAGAGTCTGCAGGGGGAGGGGGCCAGGCCTGGGTCAGCTCCCCCCAATGTCCCCTCTCCCACTGCCCAGCAGGTACAGGGTCTGTAGGGGTGGAGGTTGTGGGCCTGGGTCAGCTCCCCCACCCCCCCTGCTATCCAGTAGGTGTCCTAAGTGAGTCAGGAGAGGAGCCATGGGCAAGGCCGTGCCCACGTACACGAGCTGCTCCAGGGCGCACGCTGGCTGCCGCACACTGTCCACCAGCTGCTGGAGCCCAGGGTCCCCCATGCAGTTGTTGCTGAGGTCCAGTCTGCGCAGGCTGGGTGTGCTCAGCAGGGCCGAGGCGAGGCGGCTGCAGCCGGCATTCCCCACCTCGCAGTCCCCCAGGCTGGTGGGAGGAGGGCCGGCAGGACAGAGAAGTTGGCAAAGCCAAGGGTGGGGCGACCCTCAGCCCAGGGCACCCCACACACACCACAGCGCCCACAATCAGGGACCCCTCCACACACATACACAGCACCCACAATCGGACCCCCCCACACACACATACACAGCACCCACAATCAGGGACCCCCCCACACACACCACAGCACCCACAATCAAGGACCCCACACTGCAATGCCCACATCCAGGTGCCCCCATACTCACCACAGCGCCTGCAGCACACAGCCAGGCTGGCCCAGGCCCTGGCACAGCCCCTCAACCCCAGCGTCCCCCAGCGGGTTGCTGCTCAGCTGCAGCTCCAGGAGACGCGTGCTCTGGGCCAGCACGGAGCCGAAGTGGGGGCAGCAGGCGGCTGTCAGATCACAGGACTTCACCCTGTGGGGACCACGGTGTTGCTGAGGGCTCTTCTGGGTCCATCCCGGCCAGACCGGGCCCAGGTCCCCACGGGTCTGCAGCCTGGCTCCAGCAGGGCCCGCCAGCTCACCACAGGGTCTGCAGCCCACAGCCCGGCTCCAGCAGGGCCTCGCACAGCAGGCGCGCGCCCTGGTCCCCGAGCGCGTTCCCGGACACGCTGACTTCCTTGAGGCTGTCCTTGACCTTCAGCAGGCGGCACAGGTCGCGACAGCCGTCGGCGCCGAAGCTGCAGTCCCACAGCCTGCGGGCAGGGCTGCTGTCAGTGGGTGCCCGGCGCCCGCAGCGCCCCGCGCCGCCCCGCGCCCGCACTCACCACAGGGTCCTGAGCTGGGAGCTGGGCCGCAGCAGCCCTGCGCACAGCGCCGCCAGCCCCGCGTCGCCCAGCGGGTTGTCGCCCAGGTGCAGCTCCTTCAGCGACCCCATGGACGCCGCCACCTCCGCCAGCTCCGCGCAGTTGGCCGCCGTCAGGCCGCACGTCTCCAGCCTGGGGATGCGGCGTGCGTGAGTGGACACTGTGTGTGCCACGCAGCCCGCCCTCCGCGCCCCACCCCGCGGGCCTGGCCTTACCGGAGCACCTCCAGCTGCGGGGCTGCGTCCCGCAGGGCCGCGCACAGTGCGCGGACGCCCGCCTCGCCCAGGTCGTTGTTGCTCAGCGCGAGCTCCTTCAAGCCGGGCTTGGCTCTGAGCACGGCAGCCAGGGGCTCGCAGCCAGCGGCCGACAGCTTGCAGTACTCCAGCCTGCGGGGCAGGCCAAGCCAGGGGTCTCACCTCCGCACACCCCCCACAGCACGGCGGCCCAGAGAGGGCGAAGGAGGCCCCAGTGGCCCGCACCTCCGCGGGGAAGTAGACGGGGAGCTCACCGCAGCTTCTCCACGTGGCACTCAGGGTCCAGGAGTCCTTGGCACAGAAGCCGCAGGCCCGCGTCCCCCAGGGCGTTGTCGCTGAGCTGCAGCTCACGCAGTGCGGGCATGGAGCGGAGTGCGCCCGGGAGCACCCCGCAGCCAGCCTCGGTCAGGCAGCAGGTCTGCAGGCTGTAGCAAGCAGCATCAGGGTTGCCCCCACCCTCCCCAGCAGGGCCTCCCCAGTCACTATGCCGCCACTCACCTCAGCTTGTGCACCTGGCAGCCGGGGCCCTGCAGCGCCTGCAGCACCTGGCCCACACCCGCGTCCCCCAGCGCGTTGAAGGCCAGGCTGAGTTCTGTGAGGGCGGAATTGGCCCGCAGAGCTTTGCTCAGGGCGCCGCACCGCGCCTCTCCCGAGACACCGCAGTCCTCAAGCCTGCAGACAGCACAGGGTCAGCTGGTGGGCAACCCCCCTCCTGCAGCCCACTAGGGCCTGCCAGCATCCACAGGTGAGGGGTAGCTGAGCAGGCACAGCCTCGGGTATGGGCAGGGCTGTGAGTGGACGCAGGGGCCAAGCCAGCCCCTGCTCAGAAGACCCACACATGAGCATCTGACCGCATGCTGGAGGCCCCACACTGTCCCAGGTACGTCCGAGAGGGACAGATGGACCAGGCAGACATCCTGGGCTGACCGGAGCCAGAACTTGTCCTCGGTGTCCCAGAGGAAGCAGAGAGATCAGCTGTCCGAGGCCCCTGCTCAGCTCAGCTCAGTGCTGGGCCGGTCCTGCCTGGGCTGCAGACTTTGTATTTTCAAATGGACAGAAAACACCACAGGCCATGAAAGTGACATCTGATGCCATCACATAAGGCCTCTGTCCGTGTCTGGGAGTCCAGACTGTGGGGCAGCAGGCTAAGCCAACACCTACAGCGCCAGCATCCCTTATGGGCACCAGTTCAAGTCCCAGCTGCTCCACTTCCCATCCAGCTGTTGTTAATGTCCCTGGAAAAACAGCAGAGGATGGCCCAAGTCCTTGGGGCCCTGTACCTGGGCAGGACACCCAAAAGAAACTCCTGGCTCCTGGCTTCAGTGTGGCCCATATCCAGCTGTTGCAACCAACTGGGGAATGAACAGCAGAGGCAAAATCTCTTTGTCCACCACCCATCCTGAGGGTACCCACCTGACCACCGGGCACTGCTGGATCTGGGGAAGGAGCTCTGTCCACCTGGCATCTGTCAGCTGCTCGAACTGGATGTGCAGGCTCATGGTGGCAGCCGATGAGGGATAGAGTGTCGGCTGCGACCACCCGGAGCTTGACCGGCCAGGACCTGGGGCTGGAGGAATAGGGCAGGGCCCCTCAGGAGCCTTGGCCACTGCAGCCCTCACCAACC